GCCAAGTCCATGCTCAGGTCGCAAAGTTTGGGTTCAGAGCTGACCTGTCACTCTGCAACAGCTTGCTCGATTCCTACTGCAAATCCCGGAGTCTCGATTCGGCTTTCGACTTCTTTATGGAGATGGGCCTGCGAGACACCATCACTTTCAACACGATGATCACAGGCTGCTCGAGAGAAGGTGCGATTGGCGAGGCAGTAAGATTCTTCTTGGGGATGCAGAATTATGGTTTTAGACCCACTAATTTCACCTTTGCCGCTCTTTTACGGGCGTGTGCCGATCTAAATGACACCGCCCTCGGGTTGCTGGTCCACGGGCTGGTCATCAAGGCCAACTTTGTCCACGACGTGTTTGTTTGCAACGCACTTCTTGATTTTTACTCCAAGCATGATTTCGTCGAGGATATGAGAAAATTGTTCAACCAGATGCCAGTGTTGGATGGTGTCTCGTACAACATTCTTATAACGAGTTATGCTAAAAACGCGCGGCTCGAGGAATCACTCTATCTATTCAAACAATTGCGGCTGGCCAATTTTAGCCGGAGGGACTTTCCCTTTTCGACCATGCTGAGTGTAGCTGCAAACACGCAGGATATCAAGATGGGAAGGCAGTTACACGCGCAGGCTCTCGTGACGAATGCAGATTCAGAAACCCAAGTGGGGAACGCGTTAGTCGACATGTACGGCAAATGCGGAAAGTTCGAGCAGGCCAATACTTTATTCAGGAGTTTGGCATACACGGGCACTATCCCCTGGACGGTCATGATTTCGGCCTACGTTCACCATGGCCTCAATGCCGAGGCCTTCAACTTGTTCAACGAGATGCGCAGAGCCGACATCCATGCGGACCAATCGACTTTCGCGAGCATATTGAACGCCTCGGCAAACTTGGCCTTGATTTCATTGGGAAAGCAGCTGCACACACGTCTGATAACCGCTCGATGCGAGTCCAACGTTTATTGCGCGAGTGCCCTCTTGGACATGTACGCGAAATGCGGATCGTTGAGGGACTCTGTTGCGATTTTCGAAAGCATGCCCGAGAGGAATAGCATCTCATGGAATGCGATGATCTCGGCGTACGCGAAGGATGGGGATGCCGAGGCCACTTTTCGCTTGTTCGAGGAGATGGCGAGTTCGGGCTTCAGGCCCGATCACGTCAGTTTCCTCTCAGTGTTAACCGCTTGCAGCCATAACGGACGAGTGGACGAGGCCCTTAGGTATTTCGACACGATGACTCGGACTCATGGGCTCGTCCCGCGAAGGGACCACTACGCGTCGCTAGTGGACGTGCTCTGCCGGAGGGGCCGATTTGCAGATGCCGAGGACTGGATGGGCCGGATGCCGTTCGAGCCCGACGAGATCATGTGGTCCTCGGTTTTGAACTCATGCAGGATCCACAAGAATCGGGAGTTTGCGAAAAGGGCGGCCCGCGAGCTTTTCGAGCTCGACGGGCTCAGGGATGCTGCAGCCTACGTCACGATGTCGAATATTTACGCGGAGGCTGGGGACTGGGATGACATGGCGAAGGTGAAGAAGGCCATGCGTGAGCGTGGGTTCCGCAAGGTGCCGGCCTACAGCTGGGTTGAGGTGGATCACGAGGTGCACGTGTTCTCAGTTAATGATCAGGCCCACCCGCTGAGTAAGGAGATTAGGATGAAGATAGATGAGCTGGCGGAGAGGATGGAAGCGGAAGGGTACCAGCCGGATGTGAGCTGTGCCTTACAGAAAGTGGATGACGTGGCAAAAGCTGAGTCGCTCAAGTACCATAGTGAGAGGTTGGCGATTGCTTTTGCTCTTATTAAGACAAAAGAGGGTTTGCCGATAGTGGTGATGAAGAATTTGAGGGCGTGCGTGGATTGCCATGCTGCTATTAAGGTGATCTCGAGGATTGTGGGTAGGGAGATTACGGTGAGGGATTCAAGTAGGTTTCATCGGTTTAAGGATGGGGTGTGTTCGTGTGGGGATTACTGGTGATGGTATGATGTGGAAATTTGTTTAGGAATTTGACTCTGCTTGAGTTGAATCGTGAAAGCTATTGTTAAGATAAGTTTGATTTTTTGCATGGCTTGTGCGAGACGGAGCTGGAATTCGTTTAGGGTATCGTGTTTCTTACGGCTATCCAGGTAATTTATTTAGCTTTATGACTAACAGGACATTGAATCTTTAGTTATGTAATATAATCTTTCTTCTTTTCGATTTTCGAAGTATGATTTTTTTTGTAACTTTTGATGGATATATATTGATAACAGAAATTTCCACTCGTGTGTTGTTGCCATTCAGGGTATTTGTGAAATTGCAGGAGATGACAGTCACGTAGGTATCGTTCAAATGACATTCAGATTTAGAACCCAGAAGTTTACTGCTGCGAACTATACATTTTTCCTCACATTTCTGTGGTGGTACATTAATTCTTTTACATAATTTAAGATTTTGCATCTTTTTGCCTGAACTATTCTCTGGGGAATTAATGAAGTTTTCTGGTGTAATTTCATCAGTAGTCATCTTAGACTTTTGAATAGTGAAGCTTTTTATCTGATTTATGGGATAATTAAAAATATCCCCAATAGGTTCGATTTTATCAAAAATTTACTAGGCGGATGTAATATTTTGAAGAATTTCGAGGGGGGTTTTGAAATATTTTTTCGCAGGCTGAGTCAGACTTGTGGTTATTTGATTCTTTTTTTATGTATTGATTCATACACAAGAAATTATTTTGTGAACATTGAAAATGGCCGACTTGTGAGTTTCAAGCTCGAAGCTTGAGTTTCCCAACAAACACGATTGGTTGATTTTCAAGGAGCTTTACAAGGAGTGCTATGAAAGGAACATGCTTTCACCTGCAACCAGTGTAATTCCTGTTCCCACCGTGCAGGAAGTGCTGGACATTAATAAAAACTATAATAAGCCTTATGTGAGGCCTGGTTCGTATATCCGTGTGAGGGATGATGAGGTGACTCCTGCTCTTGCTAGGACGAGCGCGATTTACGACATGGACTCTGATGACGAGGCGTGGCTGGCTGATTTTAACGACGAGCTTTGTGGGAGTGAGGAAGTAGTCGAGCTTGTTACGCCTGAGAGTTTTGAGTCGGTTATCGATGCTCTCGAGAAAGGCTTTCACCGCAATCCGGATATTAATTTGGACGAGTGAGTGGTGTGTGATTCTTGCATGCATTTGGAGAGAAAGGAAGTTGTTGAGGCCATCCATGGCTATTGGGTTAAAAAGCCGAAACAGAAAGTCAGAAACGAGCTGCTCTGGTGAAGATTTTCCAGGTAAATAAGGTTCTTATTAATGATGTTGTACTAGTTTGCTTTTCTTTTGGGTAAAATAAGATTTTCCAGGTAAATAAGAAGAAATTTCTGGTTGTTTATGGTTAGTATTATCTTGCGATGGGCTTTTCTAGCATGATTTGCTCTTGAAAGCCTCAGTTTCATATTTTGGCTTTCTGAGTGGAAATAATTTAGCCATCTGTTTATCTAAAACATCCTCCTAAAGTTAGAAATTGCAATTTTTCTCTACTGGCAGCTTTACCAGCCTGGAAGAATTCAAGTGAACACAAAATCAGTTTCGCGAAAGAAAAGATCAATCAAGCAACAGGCAAGTCAGATTGGGCGAGGCAAACAACGACTTACTTTTCCAGGTATTCATTCATTCATTCACTGATTTATTTATTTATTTATTTTGTGTATTAAGCATACCTTTGTATTTCTGTAGTTATGAGCAAATGATCTACTAATCAGTTGTGAATTTTTTTATTGATGAAGCTTGATTTTATTCACTCATAACATGCTTGCGATTGTTATTCACTCATAAAAGAATGTAATCACTCGGGATTGATTTTTGTATTTGATGTGATACAAACTGTTAATATACGGTGGTATACGATAGTCGGGGATCATCACAGTGAACCTGAATTGAAATTGTCAGCCTTGTGAAGTTCTCTTCGTATTAAATATTAATCATGAAGAGCCAGTTATCTTTGGAAGAAACTTATTCTCTAAAAATTTCACCTTTGCTTTAGTACATTAGTAGTAACTTGGCTAAACCTCAAGGATAAAAAATTAAAAATTATGTACTGTGCATACACCTTTTTCATTTTACGAAATTCATGACAATTTGGGCTTGTTACTCTTTTTACTTCATTTTAGAATGGCTGTTAAGTAAGCACAAATTCCATTTAACAGCAATTTGCAACCAAACAGAACACTTTAGAGCAACAGAACAGCGTACACAAGCTGCAAGAAGCCAAAGGTGCTGCAGGCAGGTTTGAGGGCCTGCCTATTCTAAAGCGTCGAAAGGCCCAATTGCTCATGGCCAATGCTGATAAAGCTTTTATGGCCCTTCGAATTGCAGAGGCAGCCCAAATTGCCACGAATCCAGAGATTTTAATTGATTATGCATATGCAAAAATAGTTAAAATTGGAATCTTTTATTCCAAATTTTTTACATGAATCTTTTTTCAAAATTATTTTTATAAAATTGCTAGTTTACTAATACATATATATCTATTCCTTCCAACAAACCTCATTTATTTTTCCAATATAAAATCAATAGCCAAGGTTTTTATAGTCTTGCCAGTTACTTCTATTATCAAGAGTTTGAGTTCAACTCAATTTGTTTATTGCTCTATATGTATACTAGCTAATTCTGTACTACTTTCGGTACGTTTGCTTCAATGCAATAATACTGTCAAAAACATTAAAAAAAAGCCATAAACCCTGATTGCATAATTTGGAAAATAATTGTCTATATACGCGAAAGGTCGGCAAATACTTAAGTGCACCCTGACACACCTAGCAAAGTGTGTCAGGAGCGCTTTAAAATGAACATGTTATGTTACAAAATGAACATGTGCAAATATGATTTTCACATGTTCATTTTATAACATAACATGTTCATTTTAAAGTGCGCTGACATACCTTGCTAGGTGTGCCAGGGTGCACGGTAGTAGCACTGCGAAATGTCCGCATGTAGTAATTTTGATGCTTCCTTTTAAATCAAGTCAACCCTCGTTTCTAAAAGTCTTGGCACAAAATCCAAGATTTCATTATTCCCCAACAATAACAGACAAATAGCATAAGGTTGTGGCTCCTAATGGTACATGTGAAAATGGAGTTGGCTAAGAATGAAATAATTTGGTGATACACAATTAAAGTCTGGGTAAAAGATCAAAGCTCTGTGGACAAAAATAAAGAGAATGGGATAATCTTTGGATATATCTCGTCCACTGAAATAATTATTTGCTCCAACTAGCCTTTTAGATTTTTGTATATGTAATGTGATAAATTATTATGAATGAAACCTAATATTTAAAAGAAGTTTGTTTGAACCTACTATTTTATTAAATCATTAATGTTCATGTACATGGAGCAAGCACAATAGTTGTAGCAACATTTCCTATCATTTAAATGAAAAATTATATGCAAAAAGCATCTAGATTGATTGCTTGCGCATGCATTGCAATATTCCATATGGAAGAAGCACAATATTCTAATACATTTACAAATCAACATCCATTGTCAAGAGAGCTAGCACAACAACTTCACTCTTATAGTAGAGTATTACACAACCACTTCCATTACATATTACATTACCAATTATACTTAAATCACCTATTTCAACCATTTCATCATCATAATACACCTCATTTGTCTTAACTATGTTCATTATAACTACAAATCACTCACTAATGACCCGATTGGTCGGGCGTGTGAGCATCCCTCGGCTCAATCTGGTTCATTTTGAACTGCGGCAGATTCGATCCATCATCCTCGTCATGGTAAATATAAGCCATCCCTCCATGCCTTGTCATGTCCATGCCCGCCATTTCATCCTCGCTCGAAACCCTAAGCAACTTTAGCTTGTGCAGTATCACGAAAAGCGGAGCCATAGTAGCTGTCACCCAACCCACAATCACCAGTATCTGCACGATTTGGGCCGCCAACAGTCTCCCCCCACCTCCCATGAACAATCCGTAGAACATGTCGGTCCTGTCCGGATAGACCTCCTTCACGTAACCCCTCGTGGCAAACAAACCCGTGAAAATCAACCCCCACGCGCCACACCCCCCGTGCAATTGGGCTGCCTCTAGCGGGTCGTCGTACCCAACCCTCTCGGCTAGCTTGTTGAGGCCCATTAGGACCCACGAGGCCACGAACCCGCATATGATGGCGGCCCACGGCTCGACCACCGAGCATCCAGAGGTGATGGCAGCAAACCCACCGAGCAGCCCGTTGCAGACGTCGATCACATTCCAATGCCCGACCATAATTCGCTTCCCAAACAGTGTGGTTAACGCGGCCGTGCTACCAGCCAATGTGGTCGTGACAGCTGTCCGGCCGACCGCGCTCCACTGGCCATAGTAGGGCCCACGTTTATCGTACGACTTCATTATGGTCAGGAAGGAGCCGGGATTAAACCCGTACCACCCGAACCACAACAAGAAGCTACCGAGAACCACTAGGGAGGCACTATGGCCGCGTAGAGCCACGGATCGGCCAGACCGGTCAAACCGGCCGATCCTAGGGCCTTCTATGAAGGCTCCCCATAGGCCCGCAATGCCACCAACCATGTGGACAACGCCCGAGCCTGCGAAGTCGATGGCTCCAGACCCGAAGAGGAGGCCGGTCCCGTTAGGCCTAGCAGCACCGGCCCAACCATCGCCGGACCAAACCCAATGGGAAACAACCGGGTAGACAAACCCGGTTAGGAAGGAGGAGTAAATCAAGTAGGCAACGAATTGGGTCCTTTCCGCGATGGACCCACTTGTAATCCCTGACCACACCAAAATCAGTAAATTCAGAATTAGCATAGAGGAGAAATTAGTAAATTACATATAAAAAACAATAATTAAACGATAAGATTTATTAATTTGGGCTAGTTATTTATTATCTGCCATCTAAAGCACGCAATCCAAGAAAGATAGAAACAAATGTTTGAAATTTTTGTCACTAAATTTATGACATATGATAGGGAAAAATAATTAAATAATCATTATAATTTTTTCCTTAAAAAAATGTGAACTCTCATAAAACCAGTAAAAAGTAAAAACAAGAAAATCTACTGTTGGCGGTTGACTTTGTGTTTCCTCCATGAAACAGGGGTTGATTCAACCTCAATGTTATTGCAGATTTTATTTATTTATTTATTTATTTCTAATATTATTTTCCATTTGAACAATATAAAAAAAAAAAAAGATGTGAAAAGAACTACGTACCTGCGGCAGCAATAGCAAAGGCCCATTGGTATAGAAAGAAGCTGTAATCCGCATCGGGCCGTGGAAAGCCCTTGAGTCCGAACGAGTGCCTGCCGATGAACCCATTGGAGGGCCCGCCGAAGGCGAACGCATACCCAAACAGATAGTAACTGAGCCCGCCGGCGGCGGCGTCGAGTACGTTTGTGAGCATGATGTTCATGGTGTTCTTGGCCCGAACGGAGCCCGCGCAGAGCATGGCGAACCCGAGCTGCATGGCGAACACGAGGTAGGCCGAGAAGAGGAGGAACGTGCTGTCCACCGCGTGAGCAGCCGTCGACAGCTGGCCGGCGGCGGCAGAGAGGCGGCCGCATATGAAGGCGGCGGCGGCGGTCGCGTTGGGTGCGGCGCCGCCCAGGAGGGGGAGGAGCTCGTCGGCCGAGCAGCTCACATCAGCCATTGATTGGGAGGTTATTTGGGGAAAATTTGTTTGGGGGTGAATTGTAGATTGGTGATGTTTTATTTAGCCTTTTTATATAGCTAGCTAGGGGCAGGGGCGGACGCAGAAAATTAAAAGTACAGGGGCACAATATAACTCATAAAATTAAGAACCAAAAAATGACAAACGTTACATTATAAGTTTTCTCTACGTGTTCTCATATTCTGATAGCGTTCAATAATGACATCATTTTCAATCTTATCAAATACATCTTTCTCAATATATGCAATCAGACTATCACTCAATAACATTAGGTTAGAACTTAAGCAAATTACGAGCTAATTTTAAAATATTTATTACAATTATGAAGATACCTAAAACAAATAATACATAAAAAAATGCACAACAAATAAGAAATGACATTTAAGATGCCATTTTATCAAAATCACGAAAGCACTAAATTAAAAATTAAATAAATTTTAAAAATTCCCAAAAACAAATTTAGGGTTATAAAAACTAAAAAAATTATCAAAATCACGGAAGCACTAAATTAAAAATCAAATCAATTTTAAAAATTCCCAAATACAAATTTAGAGTTATAAAAATTAAAAAATAATTAAATAAAACATACTTTTTGAAATAAAAATTGATAGCCAACTGAGAGGAAATATAAGTTCAAACCATTTTGAAATATGTTTTTTAGTTTTTTTCCTTAATCGTTGTTCACTTAAACTAGAAAAAACTAGAAGGAATTTGTAATACAGAAGAAAAAAGAAAATAAAGAAGGATTCTTCAGTGCTAAAGAGTGACCGGGTGAAAAAAAATCTTTGTTTGATCAGTAGTAGTGGGTGGCCGGGCCCACAAGAAAAGGTAATAAAATATATTTAAAAACTATATATATTATATGTATTATATCCTTCATACACAAAATAACACTATTATATATGTACTCATTGAAAGTTTTCACCTCACAGGGGCACGTGCCCCTGCGGGCCCCCATGTGGGTCCGCCCCTGGCTAGGGGCACACACACACACAACTTTAATTTTCAGTCTCTTGGTTTGATAGTAAATGCAAATATGAAAATTAGTGACTTTTTTTTTGTGCTTTTTCGAAAGTAGTATGAAATGAAATTATCAGATGAATATTCTGAATCATATATCCTATGCAAAGGGATTGTAGGTGTGCGATGGATCTCCTCCTAGATCTGGAGTGAACCGGTGGAAATAGGCTCCGATCTGCTCGAATCGTCCTTAAGTCGCCTTCGAACCACAGCGAACACCTGCAAGAACTCAACACCGAAAGTGTTTCCGGTGAAGAGTCTCCGACGCTCAAGTCAGTGAGAGTGATGAAGATGAGCTCTGTTCAGTAGGAGCAACAGCTGAAAAATGAATAGAGAGAATTAAAATTAGGGTTGAGAGTTACCTCAGCTACTTTATATCGGAGTAGAGACACTTACCTGAAGTACCCAAAATGCCCTGGCCGACTTACGCGAAGTGTCCAAAATGCCCTGGTCGGTTCACATTCCGTTATCTCTTAGTCGCCTTCTAGATCTGGAGTGAACCGGTGGAAATAGGCTCCGATCTGCTCGAATCGTCCTTAAGTCGCCTTCGAACCACAGCGAACACCTGCAAGAACTCAACACCGAAAGTGTTTCCGGTGAAGAGTCTCCGACGCTCAAGTCAGTGAGAGTGATGAAGATGAGCTCTGTTCAGTAGGAGCAACAGCTGAAAAATGAATAGAGAGAATTAAAATTAGGGTTGAGAGTTACCTCAGCTACTTTATATAGGAGTAGATACACTTACCTGAAGTACCCAAAATGCCCTGGCCGACTTACGCGAAGTGTCCAAAATGCCCTGGTCGGTTCACATTCCGTTATCTCTTAGTCAGCATCCAGATTCCTTCTTATCTCATGTATATTCGCTCTTGTTGAGAGGTCACCTTTTGATATGTTGAAGTATATAAAAGTCGTCGGAGGTCTTGGTGCCTCGGGGCACTATAAGTCAATTTCGGGTATTGTCGAGTCGACTTTGGTCATATGCGCATCCGGAGATTGTATTGTGCCCGCTCCTCTCAATCGACTTAAGGACGACTTAAGAGAATCGTCCCGGAGCCGCCATCGGGTTGACGGTGATCCTTGAATAGCTAAGGAACCCAATCAACTTTAGGGAAGTCGGCTTGTTGATGTTGTCATTAATGTTCATCCGGTCGAGTAACCAACATCTGAACCGGACTATGATAATAGGGCTATATCAAGGTGAATATCAATGGTACAAATATGTTAGAGATTTATGTAATTATTTTTGGAAAAATTAAACTGATGGATCAAGTTGTGAGTCAACGTACTGCAAATTGTATGGTACTTAATTATGCCTGCAATTGGAGCATGGCATCATTCACATCATTATATAGCTTTTGGCCTATAATATGATGACATTAATTTGCACTTAGAAAATTAAAATTTGCAAACGTATTTAATTTAAGTGTCTTAGCCTCGTAAATTTGGTTGAGCCAATTAAATTAATGTAGTCGTCATTGGGGTTCGATCAAATTAAATGTGGGCATACATAGTTACTTTATTCAACTAACAATTTATTAATTGAAACAAAAGAATCAAATAATAAAATAAAAATAATAGTACTGTAGGACACATAATGCCAAAGAATATACAGAAAGATTCTACAACCTATAAGAATCAGCTGCCACATATATAAAATTTATAAATAAATAATTCAATTCAATAAATATTTCGACAGTGATGATTTTGATCATTTCAGACCTAATAAACTGCAAGTCAACTCTCTAAGTACAAACCCATCAATTAAAATTGCCTATTTGAGAGTATACTAATCTCGATTAATCTGTCTTTAATTATAATTTCTTTTTTAATACGCTGTTAGCTGACGTGAGTTTCGTTATTAAAATACCAGAAATTCTATGGTGTCACATATGGTACGTGTTATGATGCCACAATATGATGTGATACATTATAATTGGTGTCACAACATGATGTGTGATAGTTGTGGCACCAATCATAATGTGCCACATCATGTTGTGGCACCATAATATGATGGCACATGTATGGTGCCACATGTGCCACCATGCACCATAGAATTTCTGATTAAAATACTGCCAACAACAATAATAATAAACAATTTTATCAAGTATGACGTTGTGAAGTGCCCACGTAACCCTATAGCTATATATTATGTCCTCATTTACATTTACATACATAACGCGGCAAATTCGTACTAATTAAATAACCATCCAATATCCATGCAGATGAAAATAAATAAATAAATTATTACAAACTAGTAGAGAAATTTCTTGATTGCTGATGAAATTTTGAGATTCCGTAATTAAATTTATAAATATATATTTTTTTTTTCTTTGGAGATGATATATAATAAAAGTAATCAAACTAGCTACTTAAAAAAATCTTGTAACCCATCCGCCGACAGAGCTCGCAGGCTAAATATTTAACTACAAATATACATATATATATATATATATATAACTAAAATATATATATTGACTAATATATTGAAAATGACAATTTTAGGTGCAAATTGCAATAATTAATGTAAGCGAAAGTCTAATGAAAAATGAATTTAACTGTAATAAGGAGATTAAATCAAACTCTTTGAACATATGAGTACCTTCTCACAGGGAATTGGGTCACTTGTGTACTAATAACTTCTACCAAAGGGTCAGTCAACCAATTATGTTCCTTATTACTATTATATATTTTGTTTTGGTTTAGTTTACTTATGAATTTATTAAATATATAACAATGGCAAAAAATAATAGGAATGAATATTACATAATCCTATTCCTATCTTCTAATAAAATGAAATAAAATAATACTAATTATAATAGAAAAAAAAAAAATTGCAAATTTTGGTTTTTTGCCATGCCTGCTGCTGTCACGGACATTTTGGGTTTCTTCCAGGCCCACCATAATAAAAGTATGTGCCCCATTTACTGCTATATGAGCTCTGGATATTATAGCAATTTACATGCTCAGCCAACGTTGTTATATCATGGGCCGTGACCAATCCGTTATCTGAGCCAACTATTTGTAGGTTGCGAAAATAGCTTGCTGTCCCAAACCCGCCTTCCGCAAAATGGCCCGAGCCCATTTGAGTGGACGTGTGTTTATTTTTGGGCCGGGTGTTTACGACCTCACCGCCCCACTCGACCATTGTGGCCCGATGTGATAAGTGAGTAAATAGTTCGTTGGGCCAGTAGCCCACTAACGTGTTGTCCCCAAAGGCCATCCACCAATTCTTTGTCTTTGGATCCTATGTGGACAACATCACCATACATACAGTGAATAACAAATGTGGACAACTATACAAATCCAATTATTATTATTATTATTATTATTATTATTATTATTATTATTATTATTGTTAGAAAAAGAGATTAAAAAAATTAAAACCTTCCATATGAGGATGGTGATGTCATACTGGGTTTGGTGTAAGGATGAGACTGGAGAGATAGCAGCTCCAATTGCAATTCGACTATTTGTTTGCACAAATCCAGAGCATAGAAGATTATAGCATCCCGTTGATTCATATGCATCAGACTACATATATACACCAAGTACGTCATCAACATTATTTATCGTAAATCTAATAATTTAAACATTTTTGGGAAATATAATTAAGGGAAAATGCTACAATCCTGTTACGGAACCATTCCGTCGAATTTGTAACCATTAGATCATCATGTAACTGTCATGGATAATTGATCTAACGGTTACAAATCCTAACAGAATAGTTCCAAAACAGTATAATCTCCCATAATTAAGATCGAGAACTAACCGTCCAATAGGTGAATAATCTGGGTTTACTGTCTCCATACAGCTCCGGACTAACCTGACTAGTAGTAAAATAATCAAATTAAATCTTCATAAATTCGATTTTCACCCATAAATTGATAAGTAAACCTTTTGACCATAACATTAATTTCAGTATATTTTTTTTTTAGAAATATTTTTAAAATATTTGATTTGGTTGGATTATATGTATATATAACCTGCCAGCCAGCTTCAACACTGTTGAGGTCGGTGCCATCAAAGGAGCCGGACAGAACCCAAATCTGAGACAAGCTAAACTCGACTCGTCCTTCTACTGATGGGTCCCACACGTTTATCGACGCTTTTGCCCCGTATATCCCCTCTGATGATGTCACATATGCAATAGCATGCTTTGGACGAGTAAAAACAAAAAAAAAAAAGAAGAAACGCGCTGGTGAGCTCAACTCAGCTCGTCTCGTTTATCACACTAATTAATGTTCATATATAATTATTAATCAAAAGAAAATTGACTCAATACCTCATGGTTATTGGTATTGAGATCATCGTTAGTGGGCTCGTCGGTTGGGTTGCGACGACGGCCGGGAAAGGACAAAGGCCTTGTTTGTTTCTTTCCAAAATCATACAACGACTTGGCCCTAAGCACGTCGTGGACCGAGCTACGTCTGATGGGCACCGTGCCTTTCGGGCACAGTTGGCCCTTTTGATGCCACATTTGCCACACACCTTTGAGCCCGTCTACGCTCTTTGTGGTGTTTGTTTCGTCTGCAGCGTCGTCCTTGGTTTTCGGCATTGCAGATGGAACTCTCTGAAAACATATTCGATTACCGTTAATATATATACCGGACAAATATCAATTATCTTTTCTCATTATAATGAAATCGACAATCAAAATTTTGTTATTAGATAGTCCGATAAATCAGTTAATTGTGGTTAGTGATTTGAAAAGGCTCAAGAGGAAGCTGAATATTTATAGTGGTGCTTTTTTAAAATTTTGCTTTACGTATATTCAACGTACCTAATTAGCAATTAATAATGAGATTTGGATTGCTTTAATTTAGCTAGTGTTTGGGTTGGTTAGACATCATCAATTTGTACCTGAATCTTGTGATGCTTCAAAAGCGGGTGATCCAGAGCTGGCTGTCTTCTTTTGTGAACACAATCAATGAGGTCTCCATCTGGGCTCTATCAAAACATTAATTAATTGGCCAATATCTATTACAATTAATTATTACAATTAGCTCACATTATTTCAAGAAAACGACATGAAATTTTATTCAAAATTAATTCTAGTAACATCTTAATTTATGTATATATCTTCCAAATTGCAACATTTGATCATCACATGAAGTACTTCATATATTAATTAAATTAAGATTCATGGAATTAAGTTTAGTACTACCACAACAGTACACATTATATTATTACTGAATCAGCGACAATCTAAATTTTGTACGTAAAAACATGCAGTAATAATTTGGTATATAAGTCAGTTGGTAAATCAATCAATCTGATGACAAAGCAGATTAACTCTACTATATATATATATATATACCAAGTAATCATCGGTTAAAAAAAGCTCGTGTCGACTCGTGCGCATAATATAAGTATATGTACCTGAATGGTGAAGACAGGAGGCTTGTTAATGTTTTGGAGATGCTTGTGAATCCTGGCTAGCCTCAAGCTGCTAACTGCTGCTTGTCTATATTCAGTAGTACTATAGTTTGATGGATTATTATTATTATTATTATTTGATGATGATGAAGTGGCGGCCGCTAAACAGCATTTCAAGGGGATAATAATAAGGGCATCTAAAACTAATATCAATGGCAGAAGAATATTATAATTAATTGAAAGATTTATTATTCTTGAAAGCCCTCTTTTTCTTCTGCCCATAATCAACCAAATAACTCACTAAGAAAATGTTAAAAGAACAAAAAAAAAAAGGACTAAAAATTGTACATTCACTTTCTCTCTCACACACTCATGGGTGTGGGCTGAGCTTTTTAGTTTTTTTTCTTCAAACAACACACAGTAGTGAAATGAAGCAAATATGAAGGAGAAAATTAATGAAATTAAAGGGAACTTAAAGAGTTGAAAAGGGTAGAATTTATTTAAGCATATTATATATAAATCAAAGCATATATATATATATATATATATATATATATTGAAACCTACCTACCTACCCTTCTTCCTCAGCACTTGTCTTCACCATTAATTTTCCTCCAAACAGACCCAACTCCCCTGCTTTCTTTTCTTTTCTTTTCAGTCACTCCTTATTGTAAATTAATAATATGATATTTTCACATATTTTAATATCATAAATAAATGGTGATTATGATATTTTCACATATTTTAATATCACCCACGATGAGTAAATAAGCTTTTTTTTTAACTTTTTATTAACAAAAAAAAAAAAAAAGACTCAAATAAGTTAAAATAAAAACAGTCCCTTTTTAGTTTTTAGGTAAGGCCGTTTTTTTTTTTTCACTTTGAAAATATAATTGTGTGATAGTACATGATTTCACATTATGCAATCATTAATTTTCAAATAGATGGAGACTAATAAAAGTTTACGTAGCTTTGACCTTAAATCACATTTACTAAATGCACAACGGGACGTATAAGCTACATTTAATTAATTATTAATAAGAAATTGGATCTAAGAAGTCTTAGAAAGACTTAAAAATTATTATCTATCTATCTATACTATTATAAAAGAGTCAATGAATCTGTAAAAATATATTTTTCCTAAATTAACCTTATTTTGTCAAATTAATTTTTGCAATTAAATATTAATAATACAGTCCTAAAATTAATAGTACAGTCCTCAACAGAATTATGTGTCCCCAAATCCTTTACAAAGCGACTGCGAAATTTTATATAACAAAAAAATGGACGGGATTAATATAATATTAACCTTACTTGTGCCGCACGATTCCTACCGTCATGCTGAATATAATATTACAGTTAATATGAGCTTACAGATTTGCAATTTACTATGAAAAAATCACTAAGCAGAGTCACTAAATTATACACAACTTAATTTAACTTGCAGATTTAATATACATATCAAATTACAGTAATAATGTTTAATGATACGATTTATTTATTTTATTCATTAAGCATTAAACATTATTGTGACCATCTTTGCATATCATTAACGATTTATTTTATTTACTAGTACAACACCCGTATATTACACGGGTGCTTGTTAAAAAATTATTCTTAAATTTTAAAATTAATGAGAAAACTATATTAAATTTAGTTTACTTTTTTACAAACAAAATATATTACTATATCTTTTAGAATGATATGTGTTACTTATGACGTACATGTGTTATATTATATTAATTTTTATATCTTATATCATATAACTACTTGAATTATAAATATATTAGTTGATAAATAATTTTATTTTTCTAATTAATATTAAAAATAATTTTATTATTGTTATAAAGATGAATATAAATTATTTTTTTTATACATACAATATGGATATTAAATCGAAGCTCATCAAAAGAAGATTAATTTGATATATTACATATGTAAAACTGATAAAAAATACAAAAGTTATTAACTTTTAAAATATATATACAATTCAATAGTATAATAAGGAATGATATTAAAATAGAATTAATACATGTAACATGACCATAAATAATCAACATATTTATGGTAATCCGAACCTAATTATTTTTTGTTTGGAATTAAATTAAAATTTGCCCAAGCCTAATAACAAAGCATGTAATTTTGCCACATAGGATTGCGAAGCACCAGAAGCAGCCACGTAGGCTCAACGCATTCTGTATTAATATATAGGGGGATTTGTGCAGGGAGTCCAAATTGGAGTAATGATGTTTAATGCTGATATTGATAAATACACGTATATAATAATAATAAAAAAAAGTTCCATAAATATGCTTCAAACATACAATATTGATAATTTACACAATATTAATAATGATAACAACGTTCTAAATTGATTGTATTTGTAGGTATCGATCCATTCTTGTCTTTTTATAGGAGGACATGGCTCAAAATGAAGTACCCACCGTACACGACATGGTTGAAGAGAGCCTATTTGTTGCAATTAGCAATTTGATAAAACCAAAGATTTACAACGGTAACATTAAAACCAATTACATAAATAGTACTTTTATTTTTACACACAATTATCATACATATTGCTCAATTAGTTAAAGCTATATGATTTATAATCTTATTGACATAAAAACAATGTTCTTTTTAATTACAATCATACATATTAGTGGAAGTACTTATATATAATCATACATATTGTTGCGGTTATTTATTTACAATCAAACAATGTTAATTACACTCATACTTTAATTTTTATAATCCCTTAATTATGTTTGTAGATAATTGTGCATATAACTTTGCGATTATAATGTTCACATTTAATTGATTAGGCCAATTGCAATTGCAAACCAGTACAATATTTGTACTTCAGATAAACACGGCGTGTGAGGAAAACAACCATATGCGTATATGGTATCCTCTAAATTCTTGATACGATAAAAAAAATATCACACTTTACATAACAATAATATTACCTCTTACTTTTGTATTTTTTAGGTTACAAACACATGACAAGCCTGTGAAAATAGTTGAAATGTCAATGACAAGAAAAATGAAGGATTTGGATAGCATCACCTTTCAACAAATTTACTATAATCGTGCAGACATCATTGAGGTAAATTTAACAAATATCATCAATAACCAACATATTTTTTGGTTGAATTATTTATATAAATAACCATTGTTTCGAGTCACATGGGAAATACTATTGTTTCAGAGGATTTGTCGACAAGGTCATGAACAAATCATCATTATGGTATGAATCATGCAAAAAATGCAAAAAATGCACCTCTTCTATTGACAAGAATGACAGCAACAAGAAGTGTAAAAACTGCATCGATGTCGTCGAAACAACTTCAAGGTAATAAGAAAAAACAAAAAAATTATATCTTATATTTTAAAGACAGAGCACAATTAAAATAATTTTACTATTTGTAGATATAGGTTGGTACTAAATGTTGTTGAAGAGAACCTCATTGTCACTATCACACTTTTTGAAGATGTTACAATGGTTTACGTGGGGTGTTCTGCTGCAGACTACATTAGATCCATTGAGTAGGTAATTAAATTTTTCAATTTATAACTCAAATGTATCTTCAAATACTCAAACTTATTACTCAAATTCATCTTTAAATACACCATTTTTATCTCAAAATTTGTTCCCAATTTATTAGGGAGAAGAATCATCTGGACTATCGAGGATTGAGCTTGCAATCAACCACCCAATTTCAATTTCTCATCCAAATAGATCATAAGTCCTACAAATCAAGAGGAGAGAACGTGGTTGCCGAAGCAATTGCAAGATTACAACCTATCAATGATGATGACATGAACGAAAAGTTCATCAAAATCTCCAAAAAAGGCAACTGATCTGCAAAAGAATCAAGGAGAACCACAAAAAAAGCAAGTTCAAAGAAGAAAACGCATCGCCAACAAGATCAAGGAAGACGACAATGATAGTGTCATTGAAATTGAGGATAATGAAATCAACAGACTTAAAAAGAAATTTTTGCGCAACAATTCAAAAGCAAAGAAAAAGAAATCATCCACTCCGATCATCAACATAAAGAAAGAGAAGAGTTGAAGATCATAGTTACTTCTTTCCATCATTTAAATTTAAGAACATTCTTTAGTTACTTTAGTTAATGTTTAGTTTAAGAGCAATTTTTGGTTACTTTTCTTGCTATAGTTCATTTACTTTACAGTTTTAAAAAATTTCATCTACTATCTATTTTACCTTAGAACATAATAATTTATCCCGACCCCTTCATGCTTTCTATTAAGAGTGAGTTTAAGAAAATATAGTACCATGAAACAAAAATGTCTTCGTGCACTAAACTAGCAAAAAAATATTTTCACCACGTGCATCGCACGTGTCCCTTACTAGTAACTCCAAAAAACTCAACCAATAGTGAACATCGTTAGTTTTCATATGAGAGTGCATCAAATGATCAAAGTACAACCCATATAATTCTAATTTATTTTTACTTAATAATAAAATTAAAATTTTAGATATAAGGAACAAAAATTCCTACATTAAATTTGGAATTAATATCCATTTATTCAATTAAATTGATAATTAAAGGTCCATACAAGTACAAACATCACTAGCGAGTAGCAACATACAAATAGTTGTATGCAACTGAAGAATACAATTAAAAATGAACATACAACGAAATACAGTTTAGTTGAGTTGGTAACCAAAGGTAAAATTTAATACGGGCTGTTGCTTTAACGTGGGCTGAGGTTTCAGAATCCAATAACACTTTAAATGGGCTTCAAGCCTTTGAATCCAAGGCCATAATAGTGCTGAGGTTCATGGGCTTCATGTACTCTTCAGAGCCTCCCAATATTTGCTGTACTATCATTCTATTGGCCCTTTCTGATGGATGAAACGGATCCCAAAAGACGTATAGATCTCTGTTTGGGCACAAGTTTGAGAGTGGTGTGCAAAGGCCCAGCCCATTATATGGGCCTTGTCCACAACAAGCTATCTTTGAGGTAATAAATCCTGCTCATATATAAGCAGAAAAATTTTGGATTCATTTAAATATTAGCGGATTGAATGTATTGACCATTAAAATCAGCTAACAAGCTTGTTACTAATACTTCTTTGATTATCTTTTTAAATTCAAATAATGTTGAACAAAATTTAGAAGTGCATTGTCTTTTTTTGTATAGATGGTTCGTAAAATAAGATTTTCGTTGCAGCTATACAAATTAACATAAAAAACTAAAGAGATTTAAGTTGAAATCGGTACCAAAACGTGTAGGCTCGGATATGAAATCCATGTGCATTTGGTTCGTATTAGCTGCAATAAAAACATCGTGTCCAATCTCATCATTGAGCTCCCTAAGCATACGCTCGAGTTGAGGGTTAAATAGCTCGGCAGCCCTTTGCAGCTCTTCGGCACATTCACCGTTTCTACTATGCAACGCCAGCTCAGCCGGGACGCACCCTAGTGGGCCCGTTCCCGTCACAATCACCCGACGAGCCCCTAGGCTATAAAGTCTCTGCATCGTCCAATATAAGATGATTTTCTAGTTCATCGATCGACAAAAATGTCTATGTTTTGTCATTTTTTCGAAATGTAGAGATAATCGAAAAAATAATACGAATCATATAATATGTGTTATTACCTCCAAGACCTTTTGATACTCGGATATGACAAAGGGCACATAATTGTCGATGGTAAATTGGCGAGACCTTGCGGAGTAAGGGACCAAATAGTAATTATTGACAAAATCGTTTCCACCTAATGTGATGAGAGTCAATGAGTCGGTCAACAATCTCTCGGTCTCTTCTTCTCCTATTAGTGCTCCTAGTCTTTCTTGATACTCCTTAAAATAATTCAGTTGTTGGTATATCCTAATTATATTAACCTGCAAACATAAATATAATCAAATTCACGATTTTCCAATTTTTCATTGTACAAACTTGGTGAACTTCACCCTAGTGTGGAGTACATCACTACGTTTCAACACAGATCGTGTAAGTGTTCGAGACGGTTAAAATTTTCATAGAATAAAATGGAATCGATCAGCAAATTGCTGTAACGGTTAAATTCGTTACTTTTTTTCTAAACAACTTAAGTTGTTATTCTACACGAAATGTAAAACAAGAAATGCATAAATTATGTTCTTTCTTGTACACTTTCTCTTCACAAATGAAACATGAAAAGACTTACAAACTGAATTCCAGTGTCATTAAGCACACCCACACCAGCAGAAGCAAAGTTGGCACCAATTCTTAGTTTGGGCCCTCTAAGCTCTGGGCTCAAGTATGGCAGTGTGGGCTCCCAACCCATGTGTTCACCTATTTTTCAATCACAAACAACAATTAAAATATTAAAAAAAAAAAAAAGACAAAACCTCAAGGGTTTTTGATAGTTGAAAAATTGTTTTTATGTTTTAGGGCTTTTTTTAACTTACTGATGATATCGGGAATGTTAAGCCCATTTGAGAACCGTCCCGTCGGCCGATGAGACGGGTGGTCAATGCCGTAAGGTGGGGCATCGGCCCTAGCAGTTGTCAACAAGTAATTATTGTTGCCGTTGTCAACCAAAGAGTCTCCGAACACAAAGAATGCCCTTTCTTGCTCCTTAGCTTCACCATGAGTAATCAAATCTCCCAACGTTAACATGAGCCAAAAGGCAACAAAAGAAACTGAAAAAGCCACTAAACTCTTTGCCATATCTTTAATAAAAATAATAAAAGGAAAAGAAAAGTATTGGATTTGCAATTAGTCCCTTGTTTGTGCTCAGAAGAGTAATAAAATTGACTAGTAACTATTGTGTTTGTTGCATGTTTGGGGTGAGGAGAAAGGTATATATTGTTCTCCTATATATATAATAACGTAATATTGCATGAGGTTATTTATTATAACCAAGTAATTAATCAAGTGTTGTAACAAGTGGTTAAGGACAAAAATTGTGATAATAAGACTAGTTAGTTAATTAATGCAATGATAGAGTCAAATATAGGAGTAGTATAGGAAAAATTATTGAATAATCCAGTGATTTGGAGTACCGTACCGTTGTATATATATATATATATATATATATATAGTTAGGCTGGCTTTTAATAGATTTTATTTATATTTGGTTGTAGCCTTGTAGGCATTATTTATTTATTCACCTTATAAGAAAGAAAGAAGACCAAGTTAAACTGCGCCACAATAACTGTTAGCTCGACCAATAAACACGACCATTAATGAGATACTTTACTTTTGTCTGGTAATTGCCTGCAGATTATTAAATGATTAAAGCCCAAACTATATGCAGCCCAATTAAAGTAATTAGTTTTGATAGTTGATCTCTGCTCGTGAGTTGTGCCCGGCAAAGTGCTTAGACCATTTTTATCCGTGACCCACTCATTGGGTCACGGGAAAACATAAAAAAAAAAGGGAAAAAGGTTACGATATTGCGCAACTCATATCACATTGTGACCTCCGGTCGCGACTTATTTTTTGTGTAAAAATGGGACACAGGTTTCATTTGTAGTGGACAAGTATATTTTTTTTTTTTTGTTTTTAGAAAAATAAAAAAAATTAAAATTTATATTTTTTTATTCTCTATACATAGAGACCGCATTTGATATATTTTAGAACACAATTATAATTTTTAAATAAATTAAAATAAAATAATATTTAAGTAGAGATAAATGATAAATTGGATTGGGATATTGAGTTGGATAGGTACGGAAGAGAAAAATAATTTTGATTGTTTAGATTGTGAATAATTTTAATTGTTTAGAGTGTGTTGGGTATACTGAGAAAAATAAATATCTTTATACCGAGTATAAAGAGAGTCAAATCGATTATAACCAACAAAACAAGAAATAATAAGGAAAAATGGGAAAAAGCCAAATGAGGAAAAGATCATATTTTTGTTTATATGACTTAGCTGACGTCACTTGTCTTATCAGTCTTATATCCTTTACTTCATCTTTTACTTCGTTCCAACTAACTTTGGGATTAAATTGATGATGAAATCTCAATACGTTTGCTTTCTTCACCTCATCTTTTAATTTCATTCCAAATCTAAAAACAAAATTAGGATAAATTAATAATGAAATCTCTATATGTTTGCTTATACTTTCTTCGCAATTTAATTAATCTCAATTTAGGCAGACAATAAAAGGGCACGATACGATCGAGATTTTGAATTTTCGCAAATTGGAACATCATGCAGTTAAAACTGAAAGTTTATCACTTCATATATATTGTCAAAATTAATTAAAAGGTTGTGATCGATCTTGATTTAATTTGCAATTTGGCCAGAATTTTATCAGTACTGTTGAATATCATTAGGGAGGAAATGCTACAGTCCCGTTAGGGAACCATTCCGTCGAGATTTGTAACCTTTAGATTATCATGTAACCGTCGTGGATAGTTAATCTTACGGCTACTAACCCCGACGGAATGATTCCGTAACGGGATCGTAGAATCTCTCATCATTAGGGTTCGTAGTTTTCATACTAAAAAAAAAAAAAGGGAAAAACACTCTTTCATTTTAATAACGTTCTTATAAAGATGTATACAAACAAATAAGCAAAATCGAACACAAAGGAAAAAGAAAAAACCATACCATCAAACTTACATATCACGAAATTTAAAAAAAAAAAAAAATCCAAACTTTTCGGCAAGATTCAGCCTAGCACGCCGGCGGAACTTGGTGGTCATCCATGGTATCCAGCTCATATTCCGGCCAGCTCCACCCCTGCTTCTCGTCCAGCAGCGTCGGCGCCGCCGGCACCTCCCACAAGCTGCTCGCCACCCCGAAACCATCCTCGAAGTACTCTGGCAGCCATTCTCCGCCGATGTCTTCTCCGGCGGCGGATACGGCCGCCGGCACCTCGCAGGCGCAACCCTCTTCGGGGAGGTTGAGCTTAGCGGCGGCGCCGTAGAGTCGGCGTGCGGCGTCGTCGTACGCACGCGCGGCCTCGAGGGAGGTGTTGAAGGTGCCGAGCCAGACGCGGGAGCCGCGCTTGGGCTCGCGGATCTCGGCCACCCAGCGGCCCCACGTCCGCTGCCGGACGCCGCGGTAGGTGCAGAGGGCGTTGTCCGGGCCGCCCTTGCCGCGCATGCAACCCTTCCTCGACCGACGCGCCGCCTTCTTCGGCGGATCTCCGCCGGCAGTTTCAGCTGTGTTGTCCATAGGCAATTTGGTAATTTGGGCGTGCGAATATATTCTTTTTTGTAATATTGCTGCGGTGGCGCGGGAGATATATATTAAGATCTGAAGTGGGTCACGGGGGTGGTGACGTGGCGTACGTGTGGGCAATCTAAAGATTCTAAGAGATGACTATCGATTAGCCGCCCTCGGGCAAACCCCTCCCAGTAAGAAATTATTATTTTTTTTTTCAGTTTTATTTTTAATTTTAAGTAATATTGTTTTTAAATTAAATATTTTGTTTTTAAAGAAAATCTCAAGTAAGATTTTTACCAACACTACAACTAAGTAATTAGTACTATAAAAATTAGAAGGATTGCGAATGAAGATTGTGAAAATACAGTTTAACTAAATTACGTCACTCGAGAGCTACAAACGTTCCTCTCATACGAAACACCACTAATATCATGGGACAACCACTTCCTAACCCCATGAGGTGGGTCATGAAAAACATAATATCCCAAGGCTCCTTCCGTCGTTAAGGAGGCCAAATAGTCGGCTGCGAAATTTGCTTCACGAAACGCATGGTGCACCTTAACCTGCCAAGGGCGACCCAAAAGTTCTTTAATGCCCAAAATAAGAGTAGTGTGCACCCCCGGCACCTCTTCTAAAGAAGATGAGAACTCCACAACACTCGTATTATCAACTTCCGCCTCCACATTCCGAAACCCCAACTCCCATGCTAAGCGTAGACCATGATAAAAACCCCAAAGTTCTGCTCCCATGATCGAGCAAAACCCAATTTTCATAGTAAAACCACCAAGCCAGCGGCCTAACTCGTCACGGATCAGGCCACCGGTGCACCCCAAGCCCGACAGCCCATTAAAAGAACCGTCGGAGTTCATCTTGACCCATCCCGCCGAAGGCCTCTTCCACTTAATCCAACGCGGCACCCTTACTTGTCCGGACCCACCTAGCTTCTTATCGCACACGATAGCCGTATTCAACCCCTCAATATAGGCGGAAATTTCACGCAAACCACTCTCTATATATATCACGAGTCCTCCCTTGAAAGAGATGTTCGTTCCTCCACTTCCAAAGTTTCCACGCCACAACCCCAAACGTACGGGCCATTTTGGTCTTTTAAGTTAGGTCCTTGTAGACCTTGTTCGTGTTCGTCTAATTTGGCATATTTTGGTCAATTTTCAAATATATTAATAACATACATATATAGTGAGATGTGTTTCACTAATTAAATGTGATTTTTTAGTTATATGTGTTGTTTAGATGCATTAATTTACAGTTCGTCTTCGTTTTTAAATCGATCATGTTTGTCTAACGTATAGACTTCGAAGACTAGATCGCTTCTCTTCTAAAATATGTCTCTTTGGTCAGATTTACTGAACTAGTTGACATGTTCGGGACTATATCATCGTCTTCTAATGCAACGACCACTTATTTTCCTTTAGCAACCACTCAATTTCCAGAAAAAAATTGAAGTTCTCAAAAGATATTTTTCAAAATAAAACACCTTTCGGCATTACTCTAAAATTATTTCTTTTCTTTTAAACTTAGCTTAACTCGTCCATTAAGCTCTTAGAGAATTCATTTTCCCAAATCATTCTTTTTCAACTCGAGACATACTAAATGATTCATATTGATTTCATATTTTAAATGTATCAATATTATTTAATAAGCATATTTAATTTATAAGTATTAATGAATATCTTTTACTTGTTCATCACACGGGATTTGTACTAGTATTTATGCAAAATGTTGCAAAAAAATATAGTATATATATAATTTTTCGTGAAGGATAATTTTGGGTATATAATTTTAATAAATGGACCCATCATGATCTCTTGGTCCTTGGGTTGAAGACTTGAAGTCCCAACATAAATTGTTGAACAGTCTATGGGCTATATGTTTGCACTGGGCTTGAGTCCATGTAAGTACCAAACTACCAAGAAGCCGAAGAGCTCCAACTCCATATAGAATTTAATATAAACTGTTGTACAAAATTTACTTCCTTCAATATAAGAACAAAGAGATGGGAAGTAGGCACAAGTCCAAAATGTTTTGCATCTTTGCACTTGTACGCAAATATGTGATATATATAAAGCTTCATGTACGGTGAAATGATCCGACTTTAGTCAAAGGGACGGTGACATTGTTCTAATAATAGATATTTTTTTTTATTTTTAAAGTGGAGCTATTTTTGTCATTGTGCATAATACAGTGTTACGCTAATATGCATTGTGACAATAGATTGCTCACCAAACATCATCATTTTAAAAGACTTGGACAAGACAGAACCTAAACGGTATAAAATTTTGTAGAATTCAAAGTGGAAATGGCACATCAAAGGGAATCTCTTTATTCTTGTCCCTTTTGATTTTTCTCCATTTTCTAAAAACGAAAATGGAAATAATTGACAAGTCCTTACGTTGCCACCACTGACACCACTTTATAAATAAAAAAAAAAAATAAAAAATTGCAAATGTCGGCAATAGGAACAGTGTCAAGTAAAAACTAAAATAAAAATAAAGAGTAAACTTCAAGAAATCAAAATGAATAAATACTAAATTATGAATATAGTTGTATACAATGAATTGAGTTGCTCTCGAGCATGTCTATTTATAGAAATTTTTGATTTTGTTTGGATTTTTGGTTTGATTTAGTTAATTTTGAAAAAAGTGGTATGGTTAGTTGTTAGCGGGTTTATTAAAATAATAATTAAAATAAAATAATTAAGATGATTTGATGAAAAAGTAGGAGATATGGTTTGATGTGATAGTTAGTTAAAATAATGTGAGTGGATGAATATTGAATTAAGGTTGATATGGTATGTAAGAATTATTGATTGATATTATTTAATTATATTGATAATATTGATAATAGTGGGGTTGAGTTAAAGTTGAGTTAAAAAAAATGGTTGAGTTAAAATGTTGGAAATTTTTTGAAATTTTCCATAAACAAACATGCTCATGAGTTCGGCTAATTTGATAAATAAATTGACTTCAGAATCATTTAGAGAACGAGTCAAGTTCGGCTTGGTCGACTCGTTCAGAGTAAAAAATATGTATTTTTACGTAATTTTTTATAAGTTGACTAATAAATTGTGAATATAGTTGTATAATGGATCGAGTTGCTCGTGAGTTCGGCTGATTTGAGAAGTAAGCCAACTTCAAAATCAGTCAGAGAACGAGTCAAGTTCGGCTCAATCGACTCGTTTAGACTAGAAATATATATTTTGACGTAATTTTTATAAGTTGACTCGTTAAAGCTCAAGTTCTGACTTGTTATGAACTTATTATTGATGAGCGAGCCGAATTAAAGCTAATATATGTACTTATTTTGTTAACTAGACGAATTTATTAAAGGCTCATCCAGCTCGTTTACACATCTAAATATATAACTAGCTGAGATCGGGCTCGACTCCACTCAACAATATAAACTCTCATAATTGACAAGTTCTAATCTATATAAAGCCTAAAGTTCAATAAGAATTTCCACTGTAAGTTTCAATCAAGCTATAAGTGCAGTGGTTGAAAGTAACACCCAAACAAATATGTAGAATTTATGATTTGAGGCTTTTGAGCTAAAAAATACTCAACCACCAAATGCCTTTGTACCTTACTGAAACAAGACGCAATTATAAAGCAAAAATAAAATAAAAAAGCAAATCATAGTATCATTTAGGGCTGTTCATTCGGTTAAAGCCGAACTGAACCAATTGAATTTTCGACCCTTTGCGCAAAAACGGGGTACGCACTTGAAATGAATAACCAAAAATTTGATTTGGCCATTATCATAACCGAAGACCGAACCGAAATTTACGGCTTGGTTCGATTTTTAACAGAAAATCCAACCGTCGGTTCGGTTTGTTTTTCGATTAATCGCAATAAATAATTAATATTATTAATAAATTATGAATTTTGAACCGAATAAAAAAATTGATGTTTTATCCCAAAAAAAATATCACTTTGTTTAATCTTGTCAATAAATTCTAAATTCTCCTCAAATGAAAATTTCGGACTCGAACCGTGACTTGGACTATAACGAAACCAATTTTGAGTATATATTAATGCTTGAGCAATGTTAGGGGTCAATCATCAATCATTGAAGCAAATTAATGCTTTTATAACTTATATGTATAAATAAAAAACATGTGTATAAATCGGTTTTCGGTTCGATTTGATTAACCGATCATAATTAGCCAAACCGAATCGAAAACCGAATTAACAATGGGTTTTGGTTTCGATCCAAACTGAATTTTCAGTTTCGGTCGTTTAAGCTCGATTAACCGAACTTTGTGCACCCCTAGTATCATTTCAGAGCCACCGCATTACATATCCCCCTCACTATCCTGCAAATCTTGAGCGCCACTCTTAACCACACTTCAAAAGGGTCGCAATTTTGTTTTTCACCCTTTTCCAATGAAATGTGAAAAATAAAAATAAAAATAAAAATAAAAAGAATGGCTGTAAAGGCAGTTGCAGAGCTGAAGAAGGAGCTTGGAAAATTGGTGGATGCCCTTGTGGAGGAAGATGAAGGAGACCACAATTTGGGGATAATTGATAATGCCATTAGAAATCTGTGTGCTCTCAAGGGTTTGAAGCTTGCTAATAAAGATGAAGAATTTGTTGATTTTAAGAATGTTTCTTTTCAGGAACCACCTCAGGAATTCAAATGTCCCATTTCTGGGACTTTAATGATGGACCCTTTTGTTCTAGCTTCCGGTCAGGTAATGCTGTTTGTTCTTTGAATTTGGGCTATGCTGTTTTATTTTGTTGTTTCTTGTCTAACTGTGTGTTTTCTTCTTTTCTTTTTTTTTGGGGGGGGGTCTTTTTGAGTATGGGTTCTATGAGGAATGTTAGGTGGGCCTGTGTGCAACTGGGAATATTTTACTGAAAAGTATTTTGCATTCTATTGTGTTTTTTCTCTGTTGTTTCAGCTATATTGTGAAAAGCAGAATTGTTCGAGCTTGCTTTCATTTCGGTGGAGTTTCGAAAATTGTTTGGGTTTGTTTCGGTTATTGACAGTGTCGAGCTAGAACGAGCTTTTGTCAAAACCCGAACATGAGTCTGAGTTCGAGTGGGGCGATTTTTGAATAATCGATAATGTTGGGTCAATGTTCCAGCTACCTGTGAATTTTTCTGTATCTAAGTTGTAAGAATACATAAATTTTGCATTTTTGCAGACGTACGAGGAGACATTCATCCGAAAATGGCTAGAAAATGGCAACCTGAAATGCCCCAAGAGTGACGAGCGGTTGCCCCACACCCTCCTCATTCCGAATCACTCGATCAAGAAAATGATCACAAATTGGCGTAACACGCGAGAAACCAACATGCCAGCTGTTGTCAGCCTCATCGTTGACGATGAAAACCATTCATCATCAGCAAATGCAAACAGAGAACGCCTAGCAGAACTACTCAAAAGACTTCTGTCCTCGTTCGATACAAAAGCCGCAAAAGAGCTTCGTTTGCTAACATCGCGTTTCCCTTTATTCCGATCCATTTTCGGAGAGCTAAAGTTCGCCATCTCTTGTCTATTCAACCAGCACCTACTCGAGAGGGCTTATTTCGACCCGTGTCTTCATGAAGACTTAATTGCAATCACCTTGAACATTGCCACCCACGAACCCAGCAAGAGGAAAGTAATAGAAACGGGCTCACTAGCCGTTAATTTCCTCATATTGTCCATGAGAAATGAAAATTTCGAGATAAGACGATATGCTGTGGCTGCCCTGTCCGAATTATCATCGCTCGATTCGAACAAACACATATTGGGTAAGTCGGGTGCTCTTGGGCCTCTTGCCGAGATAGTGCGAGAAGGGCACCCCTTGGTTTTAAAAGATGCATTATCGACTATTAATGCCTTGTGTACTTTAACCGAGAATAAAGAAAGGGCTATCTCTGAAGGCGCAATTATTGCCATTATCGAAAAATTGAATGTTGATCGTGTGCTCCTTGATGAAATGCTTGGGATTCTTGCGTTGTTGTCGAGTCATCATAGGGCGATCGACCAGATGGATGAGTGTGGGGTGATTTTTCGCTTGTTTGGGTTATTAGGCGAGGGGATTATCAGTGAGAGTAGTGAGGAGTTATGTGTGGCTATTGTTTACGCAATGTGTTTTGGAGATCGTAAGAAACTTAGAAAGATTAGCGAGGTTGAGAATGCGTACGAGATTTTGTGTCGGGTCGCGAGGAATGGGACTTCGAGGGCTAGAAGGAAAGCGAGCGGCATTCTCGAGAGGTTGAATAGGTTTGCTTTTGCTTTCGTTTCGCATACGGCTTGAGCGTTTTGCACAGAAGAGTTTTGAGTGTGATCTCCGTTCGTTTTTCGGGTTCTGTACGAATGAGATTTTCGTTGTGCATGAGTTCTTGATGAGATATGTCCAAGGTTTTTGTGTTCTTTCAGGGTGATTAATGTTGTCCAAATTCTGTTTTCAGGTTGATGATACAATGTAATAGCCAGAAGCATAACACTTTTTTAGGAAAAAAAGAAGAAGAGGAATGGGGAAAGTGGAAAAAAAGTACCAACAGTCCATTTTAAATTACAAGTACCTTACTGACATTAGATAGCAGCTAATAACAGTGGAACTATCTTATACATTATGTTAAAATATGATGATCTTATAAACAATGAGATGATGGACTGACTCATCATAAAGTTTTGTTGCTATATATCAATAAGAATAATGCTATGTATAATAATTGGAATAGAACTTGACATAATCCCCTATATATTAATCCAGAATGCGTTGAACCTACGTGATTGCTTTTGGTGCTTCGGAATCATATGTGGCAAAATTACATACTTTGTTATTAGGCTTTAAATTTTAATTTAATTCCAAACAAAAAATAATTAGGTTTATATTACCATAAATATGTTGATTATTTATGGTCATACTACATGTATTAATTGCATTTTAATATCATTCATTATTATAACTATTGAATTGTATATATATTTTAAAAGTTAATAACTTTTGTATTTTTTTATCAGTTTTACATATGTAATATATCAAATTAATCTTCTTGTGATGAGGTTCGATTTAACATCCATATTGTATGTAATAAAATTATTTTTAATATTAATTAAAAAAATAAAATTATTTATCAACTAGTTTATTTATATTTCAAGTAGTTATTTGATATAAGTTATAAAAACTAATATAATATAACACATGTAAGTCACAAGTAACACATATCATTCTAAAATATATAGTAATATATTTTTTAAAAAAAAGTAAACTAAATTTAATATAGTTATCTCATTAATTTTAAAATTTAAGAATAATTTTTTAACAAACACTCGTGTAATACACGAGTGTTTTACTAGTATATCATATATATCAATAAGAATCATACTATGTATATATAATAATTGATATAAAATTTGACATAACATGTAAGATGAGAAAATGTTACGATCCTGTTACGGAACCATTTCGTCGGGGTTTGTAACCGTTAGATTATTATGTAACCGTCGGATAGTTGATCTAACGGTTACAAACTCCCGAATGGTTAGCATCTCCCTATAATATGTGATGTGTGGTTTTACACATGAGATCAAGTTTAAATCAACACAAAGCGAGACGACCTAAAAAAGAATAAAAAAATAGGGAAAAGAAAAGGAGAAGAAAGTAGAAAAATTACAATACAAAAAAAGGTTCATCCCAATAAAATCTCCCCCTTTTTCTCCGGAGTCAAATGAGCAAAATCCAAGAAAAGAAAATAATTATTCTACCTCTCAACCAAAAAAAAAAAAAAAAAGCTGTTTTTTTTCATAAACAATAAAACAAAATTCTAATTTTCCCTCTCTCGTCCAGCTTTCCCCATCTTCTTGCCAATATTTATCATTATTACCTTAAGCAAGGGTCCTTCATTCTTCTGGAGGACCCTGCCCCGACCCATCGACCCACATTCCCATGCATAGAGAAAAGACAACACCTGTTCGAAAATCTGCGTTGATCTTAATTATCCATATGATTGGGAATCCCAATTCATGATTTGGTGGGATTTGCATTTCAAGAAATTTGTGGGCTCTGTTAATTCCATGAGAGGAGGGTGATTTTACCTTTTTTCTTTGGGAAAATTTTGAATTTGGTGACCCAGAAAGGATTTTGTTCTAAGGGGGCGTTTTTTTTTTTTTAAAAAAAAAATATTTATTTGTGTGTGTGTGTGTGTGTGGTGTTTGTGAATTTGTCTGTGAGAGTTGATTTCTTGGAGAGGTTGGAGAAATGAGTTGCTTCCCATGTTTTCAAAATAAGGAAGAAGAGAGCAGCAAAAATAATGAAGAGGTTCCGATTGCTCGGCCTAATAATTTTACTCCACCACCTCCGGGTCTGTTTTTTTTCTTTTTTTACATTTTTGTGTTGTTCAATGTTGTTGATATACAAACCTGATGTCTGCATTTGTGGAAAGTTCAAATCTTTCTCTTTCGCCGTGAAGCAAGCTGCATCACGGCTTATTGATTGTTAATTGTGTGGTGGTGCTTTAGATTATTATACTTGTGGTGGTTTTTGCGGCTTTTGATTTTGTTGAATGTTGTAGTGGTTAGTTATAGTTCAATGCGTAGGAGAGGATGATAGGAGATTTTGTTCTTTATTTTCCATTTCTTATGAAGATATGAGGAGAACGAATGAAGACTATATATTTGATTGAAAGATTGTTGAATGGGTTGTGTTGGTGATATGATATAACATCTTGTGAAAGTTGTGATGATGTGGGTGCTATTAATGAGTTCTTGAGCTCACTGGAGAACCCACAAATAGTATTCTTATTTTTCGAAAAAACAAATTCGATAATGTGTATCCACTATCCACCAAAGAAAATCGAACTGAGCAAGTCGATTCTTACATTTTGTATCTTCAAATATATCCAGAACATATGGCTTTTCCGGATTTGTTTTCTTGCAGAGCCTTCTGAGGCCTGAAACAGAGTATTATTTGCTTTCTGATATAATCGATGGTTGTATCATACAAATTTTTGAGTTCTAACTTGAAATTATTTAAAATGTCGGGAAACTTTCAGTTGTTCTTTCTGATAAGTTATATCTTAACCTTTCTTTTCGATGAATGTTAAATAAACTTTGGAGTTGCTTCTGAACGTATCACGTTTTCTTATTTTGCAGTAAGTATTAACAATAGTTATAAGGATCCATCTACTCACACCAATAATGCAGCTGGAGGTGAAAATCAGTCGGCAAAAGCTTACACCTTCCGTGAGCTTGCCATGGCAACGAAGAATTTCCGTCAAGATCTATTAAGTGAAGGTGGATTTGGCAGAGTATTCAAAGGGACACTTTCACCAAGTGGGCAGGTGAAAAGGGGACAAAAAAGACAAGACAAAAAGAATCATAATATTAGATAAAAAGTTATAAGGACACATTTTTTGTTTGACAGCCTTTTATTCTGATGTCGTATTTTTTCCGAACAGATTGTTGCTATCAGGCAACTGGATAGGAATGGAATGCAGGCGAGTCAGGATTTCGCAACTGAAGTCTCGAATTTGAGTCTCCTTCAACACCCAAATCTCGTTAAGATACTTGGATACTGTGCTGATGGGGATCAAAGAATCTTGGTGTACGAATACTTGCCATCTGGTGCTTTGATGAACCATCTATTTGGTATTTTCAAACTCGATAAATCTTCCTTTGCATTCGTCTTACCTTGAGTTTACGAGTGAATTGCACATTTAATCCCATTAAAAGAAAAATCTACAATGTGTCTTTTTTAAAATGCGGTTTTTTCACAGTGCCTATTTTCCTTATAATTTGTATATACAGACCTTCCAGTGGGGGCAAAGCCATTAGATTGGTCTGCAAGAATGAAAATTGCGTTGGGTATTGCCGAAGGACTCGAGTACCTGCATGAGAAGGTCAATCCCCCGATCATATATCGAGATCTGAAATCGTCAAACATCTTAGTGGGTGAGGCCAATGGCCCGAAACTCTCGGAATATGGGCTGGCCAAGCTCGTTCAGACTGGCGGCAGCAAGATGGCGGGGTACGGGTATTCTGCACCGGAATACGAAAGGCAAGGGGAGTTGACGTTGAAATCCGACGTGTATAGTTTTGGCGTGGTCTTGTTAGAGCTTATCACGGGACGTCGAGCCATGGACACCTCACGGCCTGCGGACGAGCAAAATTTAGTTAGTTGGGTAAGTTCGAATGATTGGTAAATGCTTCATTTTCTCAAATTCAAGATTTTCTATTTGAAGCACACTTTCTTATCAAACCGTTCAAGAAAAACTAGAAGACCCTGGAACCACTAAAGTAACTAAAACGATAAAGAAAGAACCCTAAAGCCTAAAGATACACACAGAATATTCTAAAAAAATCAGAAAAACTGAAACCCCTAAAAAAAAACAAGAAAAGATTAGAAGAAAAACTTAAAATATGAAGGAAGAACCTGAAAAACTGACTAACTAGAACTAAAATCTTGATGCTCTTTGCTCTGTTTGACAAAGCACTTCACATGAGGCGGTTCGAGTTCAACATAAGTTTTTGTCATCTCGGTATGTGTGGAGAGTTTCTGTAAGCTTGTAAATAACCGATTGCTTGCTTTTGAGCTGTGAAAAAGAAGTAGTTTATAGCATTTTTCTAATTGCTTCTTGAAAAAATCAAGACATCTCTTGTAACTGGGCCTCGAATTTTCTGTTTGCCTTATTGCATTGCAATCCGAACAGGCCCAGCCCATATTTCGAGACCCATCCAAGTTCCCGGACATGGCTGACTCTCTCCTTCGAAAGCAGTTTCCGGTGACTAGCCTGAACCAGGCGGTCGGTGTTGCCGCCATGTGTCTCCAAGACGAGCCCTCTGCTCGGCCTCTCATCAGCGACATCTCGGCTGCTCTCGGTTTTCTGGCTATGGCCCCACCCGAAGCCCCCATCCCGGCCCGACTCGTTCCTATTCTCTCCTCCCGAGTCGAAACCTTGAAATACACCTCCTTCAGAGACTCCTCCTTCTCCTCCCCCGACACCTCGGGTGACGATAATATCAAAAACTACAGCAAAAACAGTAAAAGTATGGATAAAAGCAGAAAACACGAGCGCAAATCGAGCTCCGACTTCGAGTACGGCACCAATGATGAGTCGGATAGCTCGGATGACGAGAAGAGGACGAAAAAGCGCGAGTCGGGCTTGAAGAGCAAGAGCAAGAAAACAAGCCGTTCGAGCTCAAACAGCAGCAGCAGTAGCCTCAGCTCGAGGAGCTCCAGGGATTACAGCATCGGCTTCAGCCTGAGGTGTGATAGCGCTTTTCCCGAGAGGAGTGATTCTTCTGTATCGGGACACGATGCGATTGTCGAGCGTGATGATGAGTATAGCTCGTCGAGTAGCGATGAGTCGGGTGATGATGAAAGTGAAATGGTTCGTTTGAACTCGAGAGGCTCAGATAGGCACAGGATTGAGTTTGAAGAAGACGAAAGCTAATTTATGCTGGTAAATGAGATTTGGCATGACATTTGTTTATAACTTTAAAAAAAAAAA